CTGAACCCCACTCCCCTCCCAGAGACAGAGCCCAGGAGTCCTGGCTCAGTGCAGACCCTGTAGCAGGATCAGGGGCATAGTCAGAATTTCTGTCATTTCTCACGCCAACGCACAATCTTTCAGCACGTCTACTGCAGTACAGTGCAAGTCTCAGCACTGCATCCGAAAACCTTCACACAGGCAGCCAGGCAGCCAGGCAGGTGTGTAGCAACCAACCATGCAGTTAACATGATGCAGTAGTAAGAGTGCCCCTTCCCCCTCCCGCCCCATAACCTATACTGGGCACTAAGCAATCATTTAAAAAACAAAAATCAGCAGCCTGAGGGCAGAAACCTGAAGTGAATGAGGGAAAGAAGCCGCCTTGGGGACAGTTATGGGCCAGAGGCCTCAGGTAAGGTCAGAAAAGTATGGTCACCACCACTTCCTTCATTGCTCAGGGGATGAGATTCCAGAATTCCTTCTTCCCACTCAATAGCAGGTTTACAGTAACTTTCCCCTTCCCTCCTGGCAGACTGGCTGCCCGCCAGCACCCTTCCCTCCTCTGAGATCACAGCTGATTCATGACTTGAATTGCACAGGGTGGGTTGTGTGGAAATGTCAGGCCAGTCTCCTCCTTCCGTGAGAAGTGCTGGGGGCAGGAGAGCACATGCCAAAGCAACGCAGCCATTTCGTGACCATCCCAAATTTTGCAAGCCAGGGGTGACAGAAAAGGGACTCAAGAAGTGCTACAAATTCTTCCTCTTTAAAACAAAATGCCCCAGCGTATCCTCCTTCTTGGTCCGAATGTAGGAATTGCTGGACTGGATCAGACCCAGGGTCCATCTCGTCCAGTATCCTGTTTCTGGTAATGGGGATCAGCACCAGATTCTTAGAGGAAGGTGCAGGAACCCCCCCCCCCCATAGGCACACTGTGAAGGTCTCATCCCAACCCCTCTTCATTCGAGATGGTTTAAATCCTGAAGCACGAGGGTTTGCCTCTCCTCTAAAACTTTCACAGCATCAACTATCAACTCTGGACATTTCCACGTCAACGGTCAAGCCCACATCCAATCTTAAGAAGTTCTTGACCTCAAGGACATACTGTGGCGGGGAGTTCCACCGTTTAAGCATGTGTTGGGTGGAGAAGTATTTCCTTTTATCAGTTCGAATTTGCCACCTTCCAGCATAACCAGACATCCCCCCTTTGCTCGCCTGTTCGGAGACAGGGAGAAGAGACGCAGCCCAGTGGTTATTTTATACCCTTGTGTGCGGACCCCTTCTCTTCCTCCCCCCGCTAAGGTCAAGGATTCTTCCCACCCTGTCAAGCTCTCTTCCCGGGAGGGTGTTTTTCATGCCCCGCTCACGCTCACCACCCAGGCCAGGGTCCCAGGGGAGGTGCTGTTCCGGGCCGGGAGAGTCCCTCTCTCCCTGCTCCGCCCTGTCCCCCGGGGTGCAGCCCTGGGCTCCCGGCCGGGCGCCCCATTGACTCGCCCGCCGCTGAGCTCCCGCGAACTCGCGACACGAGTGGGGGGAAGAGGCCCCGCTGGAGCCAGGCCGGCCCAGGCCCCGTCTCTGCCCGGCCGCAGCCCTTTAACGCGGGGCGGGGCCGGGCCGGGACCCCGCCTACGGCCGCTCCGCCGCGCTCCGGCTCCAGCCTCATCGGGCCGGGACGGAAGTCAAAGGGCCGGAGCGGCCGGGCTGGGGACGCGGCTCCGCCCGGAAGCCTCGTGATCGCAGCGGGGCTGAGTAGGGGACCCGGGGCGCGCAGTGCGGGGGGCCTGGGGAGCCCCGGGGGAAGCTAAGGGGTGTGGGAGGGTCTGGGGAGCCCCTGGAGAGCCAGGGTGCACGGGGGGAGGGGCTGGGGGAGTTAGGGGGCGTGGGGAGCCCCCGAGGGAGTCAGGGCGCACGGGGGGTTTGGGGAGCCCCTGGAGAGCCAGGGCGCACGGGGAACCCCTGGGGGAGTTGGGGGGTGTGGGGAGCCCCCGGGGGGGGCAGGGGGCACGGGGGGGGTGGGGGAGTCAGGGCGCACGGGGGGGTTTGGGGAGCCCCCCAAGGAAGTCAGGGTGTACGGGAGTCTCAGGACCCTCAGGCAGTGGTGACAGCTTGGCAGCCAGGGCCCTCTCTGCCCCGCCTCATGCCGGCAGGGGCCGCGCCAGGCGCCCCGAGATGAAGCGAGCCGGGGCGCTGCGGCAGGTCTCCGACTTCAGTGACTTTGTGAGTGGGCGACGCCTGCGGGAGCTGCTGAGCCAGCGTGGGCCGGGCGAGGCACCCCGCCACGTCCAAACCAGCCCGGATGGGCAGCACCTCCTGCTGCTCCTGCGTGGTCGGCCGGTGCTCCAGCCGCAGGTGCTCACCTTCCAGCGTCTGGGCACCGGCGCAGGGGACCTGGAGAGGAGCTGGCAGCCGCCCCAGCCCCCCATCACGGGGCTGCTCTTCCTGCAGAGCCCCGCAGCGCTGACCTCCTGGGTGCTGGCCGTCGTCTGGGAGCAGGGCAGGACAGAGGTCTGGGGGTTCGTGCCAGCGCTGGGCTGGCAGCTGCAGCAGACCCTGGAGCTGTGCCATGGGGCCCGGGCTCGCATCGTTTCCATCTGCAGCCAGGGAAGCAGCCTGGTCTGGTGTGAGGAGAGGCCCCCCTCGGACGCTCACCTGGACCCAGGCAGGGGGGCCTTCAGGTACTGCATCTGCACCAGGGCTCTGGAGGTGGGGGAGCAGGGGGCACACCTGGGCGCCATGAGGATAGTGGTGCACAATAGCCCCCAGTACCAAGTCCTGGCCTCACCCCAGCACGTCTTCCTGGTGCCCACCGGTGCCACCTTTGCCAGCGTCTCCACGTTCCTGCTCATCTGGTGCCCCCGGGAGGCTAAAGTCACCATTGTGGCCCCGTCTGGCAGGTTCGTCCACAGTGAAGTCCTGCACTCCAGTGACTTCAAGAAGCTCGTGTTTGGGTCCGTGGGTCTCCTGCTGTCCGCGGCGCCTCTGGACATTCATACTTGTGCCCTGTCCAGCTGCGGGGGGCTCCTGATGCTCAGCACACAAGGCACGGTGCATCTGGTTCAGCCAGACGGGACCTGGAGACACGTCTGTGATCTGGGGGGCAGCTGCCTGGCCCAAGGAGACCCCGTGCAGCTGAAGGTCTTTGGCAGCACCCTGACCTGTGTGCTGGCGGGGGTCTTGTATCTCATTGACTTGACCAGTGGGAGGCTGATTGAGAAAAAACTCCTGAGCACCAGAGAGGTGCATTTCCTGGAGTCCCCAAGCAGGGAGGAGGAGATCCAGCTCCTCACCCCAACCGGTATCTATTGCTTCAGCTTCTCCAGCCCGGAGGAGGGCGGGAGGCCTGAGCCCACCCTGGTGGAGATGGTCTTTGAGGAAGCCTGCAAGTACTACCAAAGGCGGAGCCTCAGCAGCTCCCAGCTGACGGTGGAGAAGCTGAAGAAGGGGGAGATGTTCCAGGCACCCATTGCTCTCTCCTCCATCCTGCAGCACAGCCTCCCCCGTAAGGAGAGGGCAGCCAAGGGCCTCCCGGAGACCTACGCCAAACTGGTGAGCACCCTGAGCCTGGATCTCCAGAGCTACCTGAGCCTGGAGCTTCTCAAGTCCTGCATCGTGGGCGCTTCGGAGAGCGAAGTCGACAGGTGCTGCGAGGAGCTGGTGGAGCAGGAGGTCAGCCGCCTCCTGCGCTTGGACTTGGACAGGGAGAACCTGGCCTATCTGAACAGTGTCTTCAATTCCTTCCCCAAGGCCTCCTGGAAAGCCATCCGGAGCAGCCTGCAGCTGCAGCAGAATGGAGACGGGCTCTTGGTGGCCAGGGCCACCTCCGACCTCTGGAAGAAGGTCTTGGGGGGGCCAGTCCCTAACTGGTCCCAGCAGGAGGAGATGGGCCTCAATGGGGTGGTCCCGCTCTTCGAGCTCATCTGCGGCTCCCTGCACAGGTTCAAACCCAAGTGGCTGCCCGGCTTTGTGGAGCTGACCCAGCAGTACGTTGGGGCCTCCTGGACGTACAGCACCCACGAGGGCCCCGAGGGCGGGGGGCCCCTCTACAAGAGAGCACTGGCCGTTCTCGACAGGCAGCGCCACCGCACGGCCAGCGACCGCGAGCTGGAGATCGAGCTGCTGCTGGGCAGCGCGCGGCCCAAAGCTGTCCTGCAAGCCGTGCAGCTGCTCATCCGCCTCCGCCGGTGGCAGCGGGTGGTGGAGGCGGCCGAGAAGTTTTCCAAGCTCAGCCCGCTGCTCAACAAGGAGATCTTCACCACCCTCCTGGCGCAGTTCGCCCAGCACAGGGACCTGGACCCGTACCTGGCCGCCCTGTGGGAGCTGTGCCCTGCAGACCTGACCGTCTCGGACATTCTCAGCATCGTCCTGCAGCACCTCCCCAGCTCGGAGGGCGACCCTGCTCCCTTCTGTGCCGGGGGGGCCCCGCTGACCCTGGCCTTGCTGAAGCCGCTGTTGCACAAGGTGGCACAGCACCAGTGCACTCAGGACGAACTCTATGCCGACATCTTGCAGGGCCCTCCGTTCCCACCGCCTGCCCCGCCGAGACAGCACAGGGCTGGCCCCAAGGCAGCCCCAGAAATGCTGCAGCAGGCGGGAACGTGCAGGACTCCTTTCCCAGGCTGTAACCTGAGCGACGCTGTATGAAAAGCCGTGTGTACAGAATGGGAGCGAAAACCTAGCGAGCGGGGGTAGGGGCAGCAAACGCCAGCCTCCCCCCACTTCCAAAGGCAGAGACCAACTCTAGTTACACCTTCCTGCCTCAAACAACCTCCTGAGATAGCGCACTGTTCATGAGTCAGCGGGGGGAGG